AACTGGAAACAAGCTGAACTAGAAAAGAAGAAAGCTCAAAAGGAAGCCAAAATGGAAAATGCAAAGGGAATTAATTTAACAAAGTAGGGCGTGCAGTGAACCAGAATTGTTTAAATATTTTCTCTGGATATTGTTGTTCAACATGGTGCACCGATGTCATATCATGATTGGACACATGGACTGTTGGAATGCAGAAATGGAATTATTCAAAAATTAAAAAATTTCTTTAATTCAATAAATAAGATCATCTAAATGTGCACGTGTATGTTATATAAAAAATAAAGGATTCGAATTTTTATCTAAATTTGATTACAATTTTTGAATTAATTCTGAACCACGAACTTTCAGTTTTTTTTATCACGAACATCCAGCTTTTTAATTCCAAGAACTTGATGCTTCAAACCTCCAATTATTCTATGATATTCTGCAAAATTAAGATTATACCAGTGGGTGAACAACTTCTTTTAATTAAATCAAGAAACTAATTCTTGAACTGGGCAATTGAAAAATCAAGAAAAAAACTTTTTCTCTCTTCAAAATTTGAACACCATGAAATTATGTATTATTATTATTGTACAATTCCATACCATAGGATGTCTAGGTTTCAACTAATCTCGAATCTCTATTTATAGAGATATAAGAGTTTCAATTCTTATACAATAATAATTCCATGTTCAAATGAAGTTCTAATTAAAATTCAAGTAAGAGTTTTAATTAAAGTCTAAATTCAATTAGTTTACATTTAATTACATGTGTAGTCTTAGAACTTTAATTACAATTATAATTAAGTTTACAATATTCATATTAATTACAACCAAGTACAAAACTTTATTATAATTACAATTAAACCCAAAATTATTATAATTACCTTAATTAAATTCCAATACTTTATGGAGCTATCATAGGTCCCTGATCAGACAAATATTATCCAACTTTCAATAATTAGATCATGTCTAGTCAACCTTAGACAATCCAATCTAATTATTAATCTTTGCTTTTTCCACTAAAGGCAAAAGACTAAACTCTTAGAATATATAAGATCATAGAAGCTAATAAATTCGTAATACTTTTCTCTATCCCGTCGTATATGTATTTTATCTCCATCCGAGATTCGATCATTATGTACGAGCATAAATGACTGTTTTGCCCCTATAATTATTCTCACCAACTTAAGTTTTATTTTCTTCAACAGTCCTGTGAACTAATCACAGATGTCGATATTTAACTGTCGCTAAACACTGAACTCAGATTTTAATCGTTCAACAGAAATTACTTAAATAGTCACTTTACCCATTTTTCAGGGTGACGGTTCTTGACACGAATTCATGTTGTCTATTCTATTCATTCTCAAGTTTTTAACTCATTGAGATATTTGATCAATCAAATAGATCTCACCCATTGGTGAATTAAAGAACCAATAAAATCACGAAAAAATATACATAATCCTGTTAAGGGATTTAGATAAAATACACAATGATCTCGTGGAATTTAATTGTTCCCACGATTATGCTATAGAATTAAATTTGACACGCGATCCGTTCAATATATGTACTAGTGTCACCTTTAACTATTTTCGTAATAAGGATAAATCACAAATTGAATAATGAATCAGTCGGTCAACATTACAATCTTCCGATACAAGGTGCCAACCCTTGTACATTGGTTGTGAATAAATTATTCATGATCAAAATATAAATTGTGTCACACTGTACTTCTTAACGCAAGTTCCCAATTTATATTATTTCAAGTGATCATAGAGACTTTAATTTGCATGCTCAATAATAAATAATGCAATAAATAAATAAATTCACAATTTATTTATTATAAATAATTATTTTATCATAACAAAATATATTATATGGGCACATAACCTAACAACCGTACCAGAAAGACTACGAGCCTCTATATTTTATTTGATTTGCTCGGGTTTTATGGGAATATAAAGGTGTGTTTGGTTTATGTGTCTGTTTTCTATTTTCAGTTTTGAAATCATTTTCTATTTTCTGTTTTGAGCGATTATTTTAAGGTTACAGAAAAAAGTGTTTGGTTTGTCATTCTGAAAATTTGTTTCTTAAAAAACAAAAAATTAGATAACGCATTTGGTTTAAAAACTTTAGAAATAGTTTTAGGACATTTTGAAGAAACATGGAAGAGAGAGATGGAAAGAGGGAGACGGAGGGAGAGGGAGAGGGGTATTTGTATTTAAGTAAGTTTTGTACGATTTTATTAATTATATTAATTTGGGAAAATTTTAAGTTCATTTTCCTTTATTTTGAGTTTGTTGAATGTTTTTACTCAAAACGTCAAAAAGTCATTTTGAGTTTTGTGTAATAAAATTTTCGTTATTTTCAAAACAGCATTTTTGAAAATAACATCCTAGACGTGTTTTGAGTGTTTTCGAAAACTGAAAATCGAAAATGACAAACCAAACGCACTCTAAGCTTTTGAGATTTTTGCAAAACCCCAAAATTGGGTGAAGAGTACGCTTTGAAATGGATATGATGCCTTTTAGCCAAGCGGACTATTCAAATAACTGATCTTTGTCCTAAGCTGACCACCGGGTTTTCACAATCTTGGACTGATACTTGGCCATATTGAAGCCCAGGAAGTTCTCGAAGTGATATATGGAGGAATATATGTATTCGGAGGGATTTGTTCATGCATTGGACGAATCCAATGTTTTCCAAGAGGGTGCCCTTCGAAATTGTAAAGCTGGTGATCACACTGTATTATGAAACCTGTACAGAGCTGTAACCCTGTAATCAGATTAAAGGTTATTCTTTTTGTTGTAACATATAAACTGGTTCCTAAGGGGTACCAACCACGAAATTTAATGTATAGTGGTCAGGATTAGAGAGAATATAGAGGCTTATTTCAGTTAGTGGAATATTTTTGTCATCAAAATACAGGATTTGGGTTTAGAAATTCTTATCCATTCTTTTCGATTCAATATTAGAAAGCATTTAAATATTTTCATTTTTTAAGGGGAAGGTATAATTTTGTCTCGCATCTTTGGTTGTGTATATCCATCTCATTCCTAGAAATTGATGTGCAGATGCGCAGATGCTTACGTTTCTTTATTTGTATATTTTTATTTAATTTATAAGCAAAAAGAGGAAAAATTGAAGTTTTTTAAAACGTGACATAAAAAATCATCGACTTGAGAAGTCGGTAGGAATATTATTCATGTGTGACACAGTTTAAAAACCTTGCGATATGAACTCTTCATCTGTTTTCATAATTAGCAGACAATACATTTGCTGGTAAGTTGGACAAACGTCTAAATCTATTGTTTCTGTAGCTTCTGCAGTACTTAACGTTATCGTTTTTGTTTGATCTCTAAAGCACATCTAATAGAGACTGCTAAATGGCGAGTTATGGTTATTCAGGATCTACTTGTTTATACTTTTGAATTTTCCAATAGATTTTATGATGAACAAAACAAAATAGTGAGAGTTGAGTTGGGAATAAGAGTTAGTTTTTATCGTGTTTGAATATGAAAATCGATAAAGAGTAATGTTATTTAGCACCATTGGCGTTAAGTATCAATCTATGTGGTAACTGCTTGAAATTAAATGATAGTTTCACTCAAATGTAATGTCACATGATTCATGTAATTGAACCTATCAAGTGTAATCATCTAAACTGATGCTATATATCATTATTCGAGAGTAAAAGATTACTCAAGCAGTTTCCTTGTTTTTTCTCATTGCATTTTCAATACAAACTCACAATTGACTTACAAATTAATTACAACATCTACAGGTTCTTTTGAAATGCATATAGAAGCTGCTAATTGCCAATGAATTTAAAGGGAGAAAATCCTGTAACTAATTATTCATTTAGTATAAAAAAATTCAAGGAAGCTCTTTTAATGTATTTAAACTTGGAAAGGACTTGCCATTTACGTCTTCGATTTGTATCTGAATAGAGTGCCTATCCTCTTGATTAATCTTGAAAGCTGTTTTACAACTCTTGAGGAATATGCATCCAACGATAGTATCAAGTACAAGAAGAATGCCGTACAAGTATGCAATAAACATCGCCTCAAAAGCCATAGATGAGTTGGAAGACAGTGCATGACGATAAGCTCTCATGATTCTGTATTGAAACAAAGCTTCAACTGCAGCCAAGGCTATGTTGATTAGCACGGCTAAAGACAATGCTGTAGAAGTTCGACCCTGGATCAGAACACAAGCCTTAAGAATCGCAAGATAGCCCCCGCTTTTCTCCTCTCCTGATAACACTAATGCCAAGTTGCATATAATGTAGGCATTGGCAATAATGATGGAATAGATAACGGCTCCAGTCGCTGAAATGAATAGCAAGGCTCCCGGAGAAGATATGTCTAAAACATCGAAAAAATTGAAAGCAAAAAGAAGAAGAGAGAAGCAAGTAGCATTGGCTGAAAGGATTACTAATGAGCTGCAAATTTGAGTTTGGAGAAGGGGTTTGTATACGGCAATCCAAGAAGAAAATGAAGGTTCTTTTGCGGGTTTATAATTGCTGAAAGATTTGATTATCGATGCCTTAGCGACCAGGAGAAAGGAGAGGGAGAATGGAAGAAGAAAAATATATGTAACAATAGTTTGAGAGAGCTTAAGATTCAGAATTATGAACAATTCTGATGAGGGAGGAAAACCAGCAGCTAGAAAAAGGGTTCTAAAACGATGTTGAACAAATGCAAGAAAGACAGACGAGGGGAGGAGTGCTTGCAATAGTAGAGTCGAGGCTGCGAATGGAAACACAAGGA